TGTTGTGCCTCCTAGAAATGTCCGGTCACAAAAGTAAATGAAAAGACCTCTTAATGACAGCATCCCTAAAGACTCAGATTCTCGGAAATGAAATCCAGTATTCAAGACCAATGGTGTCAGTGGTGCAAACTGAAGCAACACATGCTCAGTGGTAGTAGGAGTGATGCCCTCACCAGACAAATTCAGAGGAGTGCTGAGCACTGTTTCTTACTTATGCCTGATTCTTTAGCCATCTCAAGTGGTTTTATTAGCTAACATTACCTTTTAATAAATGTACTTTCTGTTTAAAGCAGACAGAATTGATTTCTGATGTTTGAAACTAACAACCCTGGTTTTTAAAGAGGAATAAGTAGGGGTGGTAGAACAGATTAGGAGGTTGAATTGTGTCCTGCCCAAAAGATCTGTTCAAGTCCTAATCCCCCCCAGTACCTGGTACCTGTGAATTTGACTTTATTTGGAAATATGTCTTTACACATACAGTCAAGTTAAGATGAGGCCATACTGGATTAGGGTGGACTGATCTGTTCCTATGAGAGGAGAGACACAGCACACAGGTGTCTGTGTCATGTGATGATGGCCATGATGACGAAGGAGGCCATGTGGTGAGGGAGCCAGAGATTAGAGTGATACAACTATAAGCCACAAGGCTCCAAGGATTGCTGGGAAGAAGCAAAGATAAATTCTCCCTTAGTGCCTTCAGAGGGAGCATGGTCCTCCTGAGTTCAGATTTCTAGCCTCCAGAACCACGAGAGAACCATTTCATTTATGTTGTTTAACCACCCAGTCTGTGGCCATTTGTTATAGCAGCCTTGGGAAACTACTATACACTTCATTCAGGGTACTCTGAGTCTGTGAAAATATTTCAATTCTGAGAATTGGTTGAGTAGTTGGCTGTGTTCTCTACTGTGGTCATTTGACACAGGTCTGTTTGCTGGACCTTGAAGCAGGATGTTACTGGGCTGACCATCTATTTTGATCCAAAAGCACATAATATTATTAGCCAATGTCCCAAATCCCCTTCATTAGACTATTCTGATTATCATGCTGGTCCTGCTGCCCATTATAGTATTATATCCACTTTTTTTCTTGGAAATGAAATTCTGCTTTTACCTCTACTACCCAAGGAACCTGGTATCCATCTTTACTGAAATCAGTAGCATCTCCTACTAGCATACCTGGCTGATGAAGAACAGCTACAATAATCTCTTAGAATATGCTACTAGTTCCCTTAATGATATCCCAAATTTAATTAAATTTAAGGCATCCTCAATGATAAGATGCACTATTATGTTATAAACTACTTAGGAAAAAACACTGTCAAAGCGTGACCTATAATAATTTATAGTACATCCTTATTTCAGAGACCTGAAAAGATGAGTATCTTAGAACTTATGAAATACAATACTTCTCAAAGGCTTGGTGAAGAAGGGGGTGTCATTTGAGCTCTCTTAAGGAACAAAGAGTGTGAATGAATACATCATATGTGATAAACCATACAAAGATAAGTCTTTATATAAGACTGGATTTCTTCCTATCCAGGGAATTTCTGACCACTTAACCTTATTTAATGTGGACTGCCATTGAATCCAGGTTTTAGTCAGCCAACTAAGGAAACAATTAGAACTACTTACAGCTGCTTGAGTCAGCATACTGAATCTAAAATCTCAGGTGTGCATACCCATATTGATAATTTCAACCTGATAAATTATGATTAGCTCTCTTTGATCTAGCACCCTCATATTATATAACCACACATATTTGCTGGAATTTTCACACATATTTTTTAGTGATTAAGCCTTCTCCTGGGTCAGACTATTTGTCTTTCTGGGGCATCCTAGAATCTGACTGGTGTTACCAGTTTGGAAAAAAATGCAGAGTGGTATAGATGATGAGACATGGATTTCCGTGTCAGTGGGCTCAAATGATTAAGGTTATTAATCACTTCAGGTTATTAAGTTTTAAAGCAAGGTAGGAACTGCATCATCAGGAGAACTGACATGTTCCACTGAAGATTGAGACTTATGGATACTCTGATTCATCTGTATCCTCTCAAATGTCACCATTCCAATCTTTGAGGTCCTTTTTTCATGTAAGAGACTTGGTGAGGTTAGCAATTAAACTAACACTGTAATTTGGCAATTCCGAGGTCAAACTTTAAAGTTTGTCTTTTGGTCTCAGAAAATCTCTGGTTTTCACTTTGTGCTTTGGTAGAGGATTTAGGAATTAGAATTTATTCTCTTTCTTTAAGCTAATAGTTCTCCCTGGCAGTGATTTTTGTTTCCCTCAGAGGACACTAGGCAGTATTTGGAGAGACCTTTGATTGGCCCAGCTGGGGAGGGGTGTGTGTGTGCTACTTGCATCTAGTGGCTAGAGGCCAGGGATGCTGTTAAACACCCTGTAGTGCATAGGACAACCTCCCATGACAAAGAAACATCCAGCCTAAAATGTCAATAGTTCTAGGGTTGAGGAACCCTGTTTCTAAGTTACTCGACATAGTTAAGAAGTAACATCCCACTCTACATCCCTTAATTTCTCAAATACGCTGCTATTCCCCTCAGCAATGTCATGTTTTTTGCCAAAAAGATACTATGACATGAAAAAAGTTATAAGTAGCACCATTATTTCATGAACTTTTAAGAAGGAAAAACCACTGTCAAACCATAACACTACACTGATTTTTAACATGTGCCCTTCATACTCTTCTACAGCAGCAGCTCCTAAGCCATGCCAAAGCTACTCTGTGGGCACTTCATTCTCAATAGGTGATAATGTGACTGCTTCTCCACAGTATGCCACAAATATGATGCCATAACCATGACTCGAGTCATGTACCTAATACTTGCAGAATTTGGAATGCTTTTTAGCACCAATAAAGTGATGATCCTTGAAGTCCTGTTTATCTGCAACTGCACTTATAGAAATTTCTGCCTGTCAGTTGTGAAATGTATGCGTATGTGCATGTGTGTGCAAACATGTGTGAAAGACAAGGGGTACTGTCTAGCTTTCTGAGGAGCTGGGATGGCTGGATAGCACATTTAGGGCTGCTTTTAATATCGCCCATGTTGGGTTTACAGCTGGTTCAGAGGCCAGCACTGCTCACCAATGCCAAGCACCAAGTGCTGTAGCTTTGGCTACGGCCACTCCCTCTAGGGTCACCTCCACTGCTGCTTGCACTGGAGCAGGATTTTACTGCTTACTGCCACCATAGCTCTTCCTAGCCTCTTCACTTGCTGGCTGGCTGGGCCCGTCTGTTCATGGCAGCTTCGCACAGGCTTGTGCCCCAGTCACAAGAGAGGCTGGAAAACAAAACATCTGACATTTTCACCATCTACAAAAGGCAGATCCTGCTGCCATCAAAGTCTTATTATGTGGGTATTCCCAAAATATAGACAAAAATGGGATAGATTCTGATTGGCTACAGAGAATGGCAAAGATCTGTTACACCCCTTCTCACCATTCTCTCACTTCTACTCAAAACAGAAAACCAGGAGTTGTCCTGGATTTTCCTTTTCCTCTCCTTTAGGACATAAGCAGGTAGTTGATTTTGCCTCCAAAATAGAGTCTTGAATCCATCCTCTTTTTGTCTTTAGTGTCAGTAACTTTATATAGCTGATTCTTACCCATTTCTTCAGGATGACTTCAAGAGCCACTTTCGTTTCCATCCCTGCTCCTCCAATCCACATTCCCTAAAGCAGCCAGAGTATGTTTGTTTATAAACTACCCTATAAAACTTCTATGCTTTAAAGTCTTAAGTGGCTTCTTTTTTGCACTTAGAATAAAATTAAAAAATTCTTACTTTGGTTTCTAAGGAGGGTGACCTTATGTCTCATTTTCCCTAAGATATGGTTTTTAAGAGAGCCTCATTTTATTCTCAGAAACATAGTTTGAGAGCAGGTTCCTCTCCCTTTACGTAGAAGGCCCAGCTCTCCCCCATCACTCACTCACCTCCATTCACACTTGTCTTCTAAGCCCTTTTCTCCACCTGGGGGCCTTTGCAGGTTCTGTTCCTTTTGCCTGGTACACATTTCTTCCCATTCTTCACACAGCTTCCTTGTTGTTACCCTTTAAGTGTTAGCTTAATGGCCATCTCTGAGATGCCCTTCCTTACCTCTCTATCCAAACAGCCCTCCCTCACTGTTCTCTCTGTCATTTCCTTGTTCATTTCCTCCATGTATTCACCAGAATTTGGTATTTAATTGTTCTGTCCACTTGTTTAATCTGTCTTCCTTTGACTTTATGTAAACTCCTGGAGGGTTTGGAGTATATGTGTTTTATAAACCACTGTATCCCAGGACCCAACAGGGAATTCCTTGCACTTAATGGTTCCCTTATAAATAATTTGTTAAGCAAATGAATAAAAGGCCTTTCTTCCGAGGCCCCCAACAAGGATGAGCTACCATGCTAAACACAGTCAAAGCATTCTCTGTTCTTCCTTAGCAAATCTCCCAGGTGTATCTAGTCGTTGCCTAATTTCACTTTATTGTTCTTTCTTCTAGATTATTCTTCCAGGAGAACAGAGGTATATCCCTCTTGCCATGCTTAGGACAGGGCAATTCAGTAAGCAGGAGTCTGTTGAGTCTTCCGTGGGACCACGTGCCTGGGAGCTGGGGCAGAGGCCGCATGGTACTGTGGTGGTGTGCTGAAACCTGAAGGGCACGTGCCTGGGCCGGCTGGGGAGGGCAGGGAAAATTCACTGCAGGCTCCCACAAGCAGTCTGATTAGCTTGGCTGGTCTTTTTCTTCAGTATGATTTCCCTTGACTTCCTTTGCTTCACTTTCAGTCTCCCTCTTAGAGGTTTCTTGAACCCCAGAAATAACCTGGGCACATTAGGGACCCAGACCTTCAGCCAAGGGAAATGGCAGGGATGGGAGCAAGTTCTCTGGATCCTGGGGAAGAACTGGAGAAGTGGGGGGAGAAAAACTTCCAGCTAATATTCTAACTTTATACTGTGTTGTCTTTAGAAATAATAAGCCCATCAGCTTTTCTAATAAAATCCACAGGGTCAAACACTGTAACCAACACTTCAGAACCAGGGCAACAAGCCACAGTTACAGCAACCTCTGGTAAAAACGTGATTCAAAACTCAATCCAGCAGAGCGCAATGACAACATCCAATAAAACAGAATCAGCCTCCAGCTCACTTATACCCGTTCATAGCGCAGAGGGTGTCAAAGATTCAAGCAAGACTACGCCTACGCCAACCACTACCCAGCCGAATCCTCATACCACCACCAGCCAGGATGGAGCTAAAGCTGGATCTGGATCTGCATCTGGAGCCCAGAGTAGCCAGAGTGCTATCACTAACACCATGGTCACTAAGGAAAAAGCAACTCAATTTTCAACTCTGAGTTACACCACACACAGCACTCCTGCTGTTTCCTCCTTGCTCACCCCAACAAGCATTCACAAACTGACTACAAGCTCCGTGGCTCTGAAGCCCGCAGAGGACACTTCCAAGCCACCAGACAGTACTACAGTGTCAAGTAGTTCGGGCATGGCAGTGGGTCCCACCTTCGCATCTCAAAAGACAGCTACCACACAAGGTAAGTAATGCCCTTTTTTTTTTTTTAAGCAAGAAGAAACTTGTAAATGTTCATATCCTATACAGTTGCTCAGCTGGAAGATGAAGATTCATGCTGAGGGTTAAGTATTGTGAACACACTCCACCTTCACCCAGCCCGTTTCCCATTTCAGTGATGCGCAGAGGCCAGCAGTGCTGTCCTCACAAGTGTTTTGACTTGCCCAGTTGAGCACATAAACAAGCCAACAGTCTATGTACGGGTAAGAATCGGGGTGGTGGCAATGGCGGTATTAGAATTACTCCAGAACAGTGTTTCTCAAGTGTGTTTGATGCTAATCTACAATAAGAAAGATATTTTAGTTTTACATCATGATCCAGGACATTCAGGCAAGCAATTCACACATAAGTGACACAAAAGTTTCACTAACCAGGGTTTTTCCTTTAGTATATGTGATATACTCTAGCATTTTCCATTCCATTTCCTTTTTTTAAAATTTTTTTCTTAGTGTTGCTCTTAAGCCAGTAAGTTAATTTCAAAACACTGATGGATCATGGCTCAACATCATGACCCATGTCAGAGCTACTGAATCAGAATTTCTGGGTGTAAACCTCAATCTGCATTTTCAAGAACTTCCCAGGTAATCTGGATGCTTAGTGAAGTTAACAGACCATCAGGCTAGAAGAAGGCGGTCACATCCTGCAGTAAGAACAAGAGCTCGGAGTTGGATAAATCTGGATTCAATTTCCCTCTTTTCTGCTCGTTACCGTGTGACCTTGGGCAAATCATCAAGCCCTTCCAAGACTCAGTTTCCTTGTTTATAAAATAGGATAATTACGGTACCTTCCCTGTAGGCTTGTTGTGAGGATTGAATAAGAAAGTACCTTTGAAGTAGCCAGGACAGTCCCTCATGTAAGTAAGTGCTCAGTTCATGTCAGCGATTACTATGGGAGTCGTCGTCATCATTACTTCTCTTATCAGGCTCGTACCCTGGTTCATCCAGTCTGACCCATCCTGGAACGTTACAGGAATTGATTCCAGCTGTTTGCCTCCTCTTCCTCGGCTTACTCACTGTAGCTTGTGGTCTAGGCTGGGGACCTGGGGATGAGACCCAAGGGCCTCAGAAAACTACGAACAAGACTGTCCTTTTAAAGAGACCACTCATCTTCACTCATACCTTTGTTTTCTCAATT